GCCAGAAATCCAGGCAGCTCTTCACTTCCTGTAGTGAGCTCTGCTGCACTGCAACCCCAAGGAGTCCTATCAGAACTGCCCAGGTTAACTCCCTCCACCCTTTGTTATGGAGAAGAGGAGAAGGGGAGCTTTTCTATAGCCCTGTCCTAGGGTGATAATGCTGCTTCTCTATAGATACTGTACAGTGAGTGTGCATTGTCATCTTAGGGCAGGAAGTGTGTTATTGGCAGGATCACCAGGTAAAAGAAATGAAAAATAGCCAAAAAAACCTCCAATGCAACCACAACATCTAAGAACAGGTACACTTCACAATATTACATTGTCTTTCCAGAGTTTAAAATTATCTGTAACATACAGTATATAAAAGGGCTCATTCACATGGGGTGCATACAGCGTGCACATCCATGCAGAAACTTGTGTCCAGGAGCGACAGCTGGTGTGAGTGCAGTCGCATGCAACCACCTGTATAACTCAATGAGAGGACGCACCACTCTAGGCTACAGATGATCTGCATTCCAAGAGCCTGCATCCATACCTGTATGTATCAGTGGCGGAACTATCACCATAGCGACTCAAGCATCCGCTATGGGGCCCAGGGCACAGGGGGGCCTGGCCAGGACGAGGAACAAAGGGGTCATCCTCATGCCGTGCAGACTGCCTGGGTCGGTATGGCATCACAGGCTGCTGGCTGTCATTGGTGGCTGTGAGGAGGAACGCACCGCTATTCAGATGACTGTCAGTGATCTGTGCAGCGCCATGTTCCTCCTCACAGCCGCCACTGTCAGTGACAGCCAGCAGCGGAGGAGGAGGCGGGGCCCGGCATTGGCAGCGCAGGAGGCGGGGCCCGCCAGCGACCGTGGAGGAGGAGGTTGGGGGCCCGGCAGTGGAGGAGGCTGACAGTGGATCGAGGCTGACAGGTAAGAGGTGTGCAGGGGTGTGACCAGCCCACCTGAGACCCTGCTGAGCCCACCATAAAGAGTCTGGGATCTCACGTGGGCTCTGCAAGGGGCGAAACTAGCAATTACAGGGCCCCATACAAAATTTCCCTATGGGGCCATGTGATTTCTAGTTATGCCCCTGGTATGGATGTGCAAATATGGGTCTGCGTGTAGCCACATGCAGCTCCAAAAATGTTGTGTTGAACTTGGATAAAATCCTTGAGGAGATTTTCTTTCACTTCCTGTACTAAAAACACAACAGGAAGTTAAGGGCAATCACCTTTTTAGACCAATCTAGGGAAACAGATGTCACATTGGAACATTTCCCCTTGCCTCCTGTGCCTGTAGGTTTCTGGATCTTCCATTAGTTTCTGTCCTGGTGATGCTAACTATTAGTATAGAGAGTGAGATGCGAGGGTCACAGACAGCAATACAAACTTGACAGATGTTTTCATCTTTCCCTAATCTATCCAAGAACAAAAATGTAAAAAAGTTTTGGCTTTACATATAGTTTAAAGTCTCAAACCCTTTTTTTTTAGTTATAGCGCTGTTCTTAAAAAAGTTATAGTTTTTAACAAATTTTCACTAGAAAATGTACTTCACGTCCTCCCCCTCCGGTGCTCTATGCTGGCATGGAAGAGTAAGGTCAGAGTCCTCATCACAAGTGTTCTTGCACAGAGCTGCAGTGTGGATGAAGAGAGGAAGGTGACCAGGTTTGTTAGGTTAAATATTGTACTGGGCAGTGTGGTCAATCTCTGGTGCCTTCTGGAAAGTGCAGTACATTTAGATACACATTGGATAATTCCAAGGAGTCAGACAAATGAACAGAGCATTAGGGAGATGCCGTGAAGGTATCAATGGATCAGGGAAGGACTGTGAAGACCTTTAACCCCTATATTAGTCACGTAATCCCCAAAATTAACAAATTAACTGAACTCATTATCCCTAATTAGTAGAGATGCACCGATACTGGTACTAGTATCCTTATCGGTGCCGATACCAAGTGTTTGGGCAAGTACTCATACTCTCCCAAATGCTCCGATGCCTAGCCCAATACCCAAACTTCTGGTATCAGGAAGCTGGGCAGCGAATCATTAACCGCCCCCCGGCATCCTGATTGGCTTGAGGCTCCCCCGTCAATAGGGAAACTGGCCAACCAGGAAGCCAGGCGGCAAGTCATTACCCGCCATGCCTTCTTTATGGGCCGGAAATCCAGCTCCGTGCTTCCTCGTCACCAGGTGACTGGCTTCCCTGCTAATTGGGAAGCTGGGTGGTGAGTCATTACATGCCGCCTGACTTCCTTATTGAGACTTCCGGTATAGGTATTCGGTATTGATGAGTACCGAAAAAAAATATAAGTACTCGTACTCAAAACCGAAAAAAACGGTATCGGCGCATCCCTACTTGTTAGATAACATAACTCCTAAGGCTGCTTTACCTTCTCCTGCAAAATGTCTAGCTGATCTGGCAGTGAAGCTGCCGAGCGATCACAGCCCTGTACCGCAATGACACAACGCCAATATAGTGGCGTTGAAAATTCATGATCTGTCCCGAAAAACCTTAACAAGCTAATAAACCAGAGGTATTACTACCATACGTGAACAGGTGCGCCCGCACACAGATATTCCACTTGTGGCTGACTCCTTCTGCTTAGTAAATGAAAATAAATTTATTGTCCAACTTCCTTTAGAAGATTCCAAAATGAATAGAAGCCCCTTCCAGGGGCCGTGGGCTCTTTATTATTCTGTCTGGCTGTAGTGGAGAAAAGCCCTTAGTATGAGAGGTGCTGTAAAAGAGACTGATTCATGAGACATGAAATGAGTAGAGCTCAATCTTTACGCTGAGTACAGAGGGATGTGTCAGACTCCCCCTTCATGCCCACAAATAGAATATGTCAGAAGCTGACTTACATGCTCTCTCTGCCATCCTCTGCCTGAGTAATTCTAACCTCTATTTGGCATCTTCATTTACCAGGATAAACACTGGATCCTGCCGCACAGTGCGGTGCTCACTGATAGCTGCATAACAGCATCAATGGAAGCCATAAAGATAATGCAAGCAGGCATGCAGGGGAGATGAAGAGCAGGCTAATGCCAGAGAACCCGAAACAGACAGATAGATGGCTGAGAGCTACAGCTAAGAAGCCAGCCTCTGTACAGATGAGAGACCGACTAGTAAAAGTACCTTCTCTTAAAACTCAACTGAAGGCAATTAAAGACACAGATTAACGCAGATATGCAATCAATAATGCATCATTAAATGCAAGCAGTTCAACTACCTGAATTTGACATAATATAAGCCTCTTGCAGTCACTGTGCAGCAGGGCTGGGGTGTAACATGGAGAAGCAGTACAAGGAGCTAATTTGTTCATGTGCTGACAAGAAGCATGCTGATAAGAGGAGAGAGCAAAGTGACAGAGAGATGAGCTCATCACTGCGCTGCTTCTTTTTTCACTGTCCAATCACAGGCTGGAGCGAGTCTAGGACAACCTGGGCTCAAAGGACGTGAGTTGAATTATGTGGGTGATCAGACTGAGGGCATCTAGTGACAGAAATAAAAGTACTATGGATTTAAGGGGGAATATTGCAGCAAAAGCTGATTTTTTAATTTTTATCTTTTAACTAGGTAATTATTTTTATTTTGTTACTTCTTTGCTTAGAATTCTGCTTTAACTACTCAAGCTTTTTCTATTTTGTTTAACCCTCCTTGAGTCACAGAGCATTTTGTCTCTGTTCTGTACCTTCAACTTTTTGTCGTCTGTCCTACCATATTGTAGATGGTTTTTTTGCAACAGAGAAGGCTATAAAGTGTATATAAAGCCAACACTTTCTTTTTTGTTGTTTTAGATATGGAAAGGTAATCATCAGATAATCATCATCATCAGATAATTTTTTTGCTGTCTGTGTCCAGTTGTGGATTTTCCTTCACCTCCCGTCCTGGAGACGCAACAAGAAATAGGAGAAAATCCCTCCAAAGTGAATGGAATTCCCAATGAATTGAGTCCTTCACCTCTTGCTTTGGTGACAACTCTAACATTTTGGATTTTCTCTTTCTTTCTGTCCTAGCAGCAATGGTTACAAGGACCAACAGAAGGGTGAATCTTCCCAATATAAAACCTGACACATGGACTAAACGTGCCCATACACGGACTGAATTTCATCCGGTTTTTAATGCTCCTGCTGAAATTCGCACAATGTGTGGGGCTGTCGGCTCCCTTTTAGCCGGCATTCCTCGATCAGCTGATCAAAGGAGCCGCCTGGAAAATCTGTGTACAATCAGAGCTGGCAGCCAAAAAAATTGTGGCAAGAAATTAGATCACCTTGTGATAGGTAAGAAACATTAACTTTTTTTAATTCAAAATTTTTATTTTTGCCTAATATAGCAAAAAATGAAATACAATGATTATAAAATACCACCAACAGGCAGAGTAATCGTCAAGCAAACTACCTCTGTACAGAAAACTGCCAAATGTTCTGGTAATGATACAGGCTGGTACTCCAGTGGTTATAGTGCCCCCCACCCCTTTCGAGGCCCCAGAGTGTGTATTTTATGTGTTTTTGTTTTTCTTGTTTTTTTAATACTAGACATTTCCAGATATCTTCAGGCTGGTCAGGTGACATGCAAGGTCCTCTTCCTCTTTGGATCTTTTCTGCTGGTGGTTGGTCCTTACTAGGTAATACAAATAGAGGTGCTGAGGTGATGACGGCAGTATGTGAGTGCGTGGCACTGTGGTGACACCACCCTCAAGGGTTTTTCACAGCCTGAACATACAATATGCCATCAGTCTACCAGGTTATATGATGCTGGGCCCAGAACATTGAGGACATCTATTGGTGGTAAGGTGGAGGACTATGTGGAAGATGAGGTGAGTACTGCAGCCAGAGTGTTTTTATTTTCCTTTTACACTTCCTGGTTTCGCCATTTAAAAAAAATTTGCCTGCAGTTGGACTTTAACTAAATTGCCCATGTATACTAGCCATAAGAGGATTGACATATAAACTATGTATGTATTTTTCTAGTTTATTACTTACTACAAAAAATAAGAAAAAAGCAGCTTCTTACCCAGTCCGGTGGCAGAGTTATATTTTACAATCGGTGTGCTCACACTTCCCATGTCTGTTGTGCATCTCACTTGAAAGTAAAAAGCTGGAAAAAAATACAAATAAACTTATTTGATTAGTGGAGACACTTCAATAGTGTGTCTTATAACAGAATGAGAGATCCTAGAAGTATATACAGAGGGGGAATTCATAAAAACTGGAGCAGACAGAATCTGGAGCAGTTGGCCATGGCAACAAATCATCTTCTCTCTTCAGTTTGTTCAGTTAAGCTTTGGTAACATTACTCTGTCAAGCAAACTGCATTGATGTATATAATAAGACTTTGTCACTCTGTAAACAGAATATCAGTGGTACAGTTGCCATTTATTTCACAATCTCTATACACCTCAAGCAATTCAAATTGTTTATTGTACAACTTCAGGTAAAACCTATTGAAACAGAGGAAATGAAAAATAACGCCCAAAATGCACTATCTATAATCAAATGATCAACTTTGAGTCAACTGACCTGTTAAAGGGGAACTATGAGGTGAGTGCTTTTCACTCACCTCGTATTTTTAGCCGACCTGTGACAATGAGACTGTCACAGGTCGGCTCAGTAGATCGGGAGGTGAGCGAACACATACCGGCGATCGCTCACCTCTCCATCCTGTCACGGCTCTCTGCTGTATTCCCCCCTCCCCGCTCCGATCCGCCAGCGCTGACTGGCGGAACGGACTGGGGAGGGGGCGGGTACAGCTGGCTCTGCCTCTAGATAGGCAGAGCCAGCTGTCAGTCACGCAGCTGGGCGGATCCCGGCATAATAGTCGGGATCCGCTTCAGCTGCAGCGTCTCAGTATACCGCGAGCTACAGCTCGCTGTATACTGAGCCTAGGGTGACGGGAGGACGCAAGTTTGTGTCCTCCCGTTACCCTAAGGAGAACTATGGGGAAAAGCCTTAACCCCATAGTTCTCCTTTAAACTCCATCTGTCATGTACAAATTTCATTGTACAACCTCTAGACTTCATTTTGTAGTTTCCTCAGTTTCCATTATCATACTCAACCGTTTATTGCATGACAGATTATCTTCCCATTACTGCCTATAAGGGAGCATCATGTACAGCTTGATTGTTTATTTAGTGGCAGAAATAAATCAAAACTGTATGACAATGACCCAGAGGCTTATACTATAATGCAGGTCAGGATTTTTAACTTTGCTGGCTGCATCTTTAGAGATGAAGTAAGAGGATCAGCATGAGAGCTTGTTATTTCAGAAGCAGGTCAGCCACGGCAGGATTACGTTCAACACTTACTTTTGTCTGAGATCTTCGGAATGTGGACGCTGGTGTCTAATCCACTGTATAGGCGCTCTCCTCTTTCCGTTAGGACAAATTCTTTCAACTGTCCGTGAAGGTGAAAACTGAGCCGCCAGTCCACAAATATTGCTGTTATATTACTTAAAACATAAAAAACAGCTTTGTATTCTGGCTCTAGAACAAAAAATAATTTAAATGGAGCAACAATTAGTAATCGTTAAACCAGAAAAGACACAAGATCCAATTTTTTAAAACTTTAAAACGGATTATCCTCTACTTGCAGAAAAGGTTCCTTACTGGGGATGCTGTGAAAACGAGTGATTTTTTTTAGCTATTTGCACAACAATAACAAACAGTAAATGGACTTTAAAACAGGCTACTATTGACCTTGGTAGCTGCAGTCACTGTGGGGAAATTCATTCTTAAAGCCTATCTCCGGCTTCACTTGCAGTGGGGCTACCCTGGCACTGCAAGTGTTAACTGCTCGTTGATGTCTTGAGTACCTGTATAAAGGATTTTATTTACCTGATGCATGCTCATTCAGCACCTCAAATACCCTACAGTAGTGAACTGTCCCTCCAGGCTCTCGCATATAATGCAGGGCTATGGCCCTGCATTATAAGTAAAGATGTCAGCAGGCCTCCAACGGCCAGAGTGTAGTGGGGAAGAAGCTATGGGCAGTGGCCTTGGAGCCTTCAGAAAGGGGATCAGGTGAGTAAATGTCCTTTACAGACATAAAAGAGCCATTAACTGCTGCAGTGTGTGTGTAGCTCCACTGCAAGGGGATTTTTTCCAGGAGACAGGCTTTACATTACATAGCAGAATCACTAAAGTTGTTAAAGTCCTTCTCACAGTAGCTCAGCTCCCCCTGCTCCCCCTTCCCAGGGCTTCTGCTCTATGTATACATTAGAAAATAAAAGGCTAGGGAGTTGGTGAATTACTGCTGGCAGAGGGAGCTAAGCTTATTCAAGCGGAAGCTAAGCTATGGAGTCACTGCGGGAAGGGGAGTAGCGGAGGGATATGGAGAAATTTAGTACTTCTGTTGTGAAATTTAAGGATGACTTGCTCATCAGTAACTCCAGCTATAACGGTTAGTGAGGGCTTCATTTAAAGCTTATTTACAGCTTGTTAAAAATATGTAAATACCTGAATGTCTCTAGCCCGAGCACAGAAGAGTTGCACTGGTTCCTAATTCACAAATGGGTAACCTTGTTGACTGGAAATGCTCTTGATTAGTCTCTGTACTTCGAGATAGTTATAAGCAATGGTTGAACTGGTTGCGTTGATGTTGAATGGTCTGCCTATTAATTTAATTTGTGCTAATATTAAAATGATTGTTCTACCTCGAACTTATCATCTTTAAAGTCACATATACGTCAGCTCTCACACCAAGTAGTTCAGAGCTTCACTATATTAGGCAGTGCAACTATATCAGGCAGGCCTTCCCACTTAACACTTCCTATCAGTAAGTCTACTTTTGTGGCCCGTCTAGGCATTTCAAGAACTGCCCGCCGGCAAAACTTGCTGAAATCCTAATCCTGTGTGTAGCTGATCTGGAGGAGTCTGTTTTCTCCACAACACGAAATGGAGATTTACTTTAAGTAAATACAAATAAATTATCCATCTTAATTAGTATGACTTGCTCCACTTTCCCAGATCAACAGTGTTGGACAAATTGAGTATTTATGAGGATGGAGCAAAAAGGACTTTATGAAGTAAATAAATTTTTCTTTAAAGTGGTCGTCTTGGCAAGTGAATTATGCAGCCATGTCAGCTGTTAATTTGTCTCCTTTTTTTCCGCGGCCATTAGCATGTTTCCTGATTGTTAAAATGCCTCCTAAAAAGCAATTTGTGAATAATAATTCATTTTGCTGACTCATCAATCAATACTTCCCAACACTTGTTTATTATGGAGGAGCGGTTCATTCATACTAAATCCAGAGGAAAGCCACTTTGTGCTCATGCCAAGGACATGGTCCTTCATCTCTCATTAGCAATAAACACATTAGAGATGGTGACTGCATCAATTCCATGAAGTATCTTAAAGATACATGGCAATCAGAACTTCATAGAATGTGTTATTCTTCGCTTTATAATTCTGTCCACTTAGAGGCAGGAACGAAAAACCAATTAATAAGCTTCACCATAACTAACCTTTGGCCTGGGAAAACCAACTGTTCACAACAAGTCACAATATTGGCTTGAGGTGCAACATACACAATTTCTAGGTATACCTTAAGGCCCCCTTCAAACCATGTGTGGCATTCATGCACCTCGGTAACAGAATGCCTTACCTAGGCTCCCTGCTCAGTCAGACCCATAGCTCTGTATTAAGCAAAACGCAACCTGCTGATTGGAGCTCTTACTCAGCAGAGTGGGAGAAGCATGTTGGACCTCTGCATAGAGACCACTGCTTTCACTCAGAGAACAAGAGTCCCTATCAGCAGCATGTTTACAGGGGGACAGACTTTTTTACTCCGTAGAGGGTGCACACCTTTTGTTTTCAGCTGATTTAAACTGAAAGCTCAATTGACCCTTAAAGAGGAACAAAACCCTTCTAGCCTTTGTAGTAATACAACAAAAATCTGCATTTCCATTCTTGCTAGATGGCCTAGATGTTCATAAATTAAAGATTTATTTGCTAACCTTGCAAACCTTTTTTATGGCGCGACTAACCCTGCCTGCAGAAGGTGGCGTCAGCTTAGCCTCTATTTAGATCTGCAGTTTTTGTGGTGCTACACATGTGGAAAAGTTCTGCTGAGATCTGAAATAAGCACACTGACAACTGTGACGGGTATCACCAGAGGCATGCCCTGAATGTAGCATACACTGCACATGTGCTAGTAGACACTGTAGAAAGCAACATTGGTATCTTTGATTAACCCCTTGCTGCCACTGGAAACTGGCCCATTTAAGGACATCTAAATACTGTAGGTGTTTCCTGGGCATCCAAACTATGTGATCACTGAGATTGACTGTCACAGCGGTCATGTGATCAGGGTTCAGTCCTACTGGATCCCAATAACAAACAGTGACTAGGAGCTGTCAGCGACAGCTCGCTGCAGTGCTGGAGGCACATGATTAAGCATGCTCCCAGCACAGAATAGTGATGCTGGCTGTATGCAAATACTGTATGTGGCAGCACAGTGTATAGCTAGCAAGAAGAAGTCAAGGATTTAATAACATTTTTCAGACACAATAGATATTATATTATTATACGTTACATCAGTTGGTTTAGTTGCTCTTTAACCAAACCTATAATTCACTTTTACATGGGTGTCGGTTGTAAGCCACTTTGTACCCTATGACATACTTTCTTTTAAGGTTGTGCAGTTGATCCATTCGGAGGTGGCACTTCCTTCTGAGTTGTAGCAGGCAACACGAAAACTGTAGGTGGTGAAGGGCTGAAGGTGTGTAACATTGCAGGCTTCTTCCATTCCAGAGTATACAACCTCCACTGGGCCTTGGGAACACATCTTTTCAACCATACCAATGGTTGGAGGACAGATAGTTTGAAGGTGGACTTCATACCTACCAGCAGTAAGTACACAAATATTACAAAATTCAATGTTAAAAACCAAAAAAATAAATAAAAGAAGAAGAAAAAAAAAAGTAGAAAAATGTTTGTAAACACCTTCCATATGCAAGTTTTTTTAAAATGTGAATGATGTGAATGATGAAGGAATACATGATCTTCTCTGCCCATGATGCACCAAATCTGGTTCTGTTTGGAAGGTCTTTGAAGATCCACCATCAATGAACTGAACTAGTACAGAGCTCATAGTCCACTAACTAGCACAAACAATACATTCTATGTGTGTGGTTAATATCTTCTAGTAAGCAGGACTGTGTTTAGAGGTCTGCTTTATATGCACATTTAGATCAGCAAAGAAAATAAAAGTGGACTGGTTTTAGGCTTCTGGTCTGCTGGCTGAATCAAAGAGAACACACAAAAAGAAGCACCGCTGGGAGCATGCCCTTCGCTCCAATATGAGCCAATACAAACAGAAGAAAAGCTGGCCGCACACCGTATTCCACTGGAATAGTTTATTGAAGCTTGTACCACATCATTGGTGTCCCACCCAAGCTCTGCCTCTCTGATGCATTTCATGCAATCACGGATTAAAACTAAAGTCTTTAGGACTAAGCCCCTGATTGGGTGAAAGGTGTCAGAGGGGTGGACCTTGGGCGGGAGACCAGTGATGTGTGTAATAGCTTCTGTAGCGCCCATCACCTTTTGTGATGTGACTACCATGCATTTAGTGATATGCCAAGGCTGTAGACAGCCTGGCTGGATTTGTAGCAGCAAGTACATGGTTAATTCCCAGGTGTCTGACCTTGTCTGTGCCCCTGGGCAGAGTGGGACTCTGTCACATTGTGGGACAGCCAATAGGTGACACTGTAATGTGTGTACAGTGCAGCAGCCAGTTACTGGGCTTCTTGCAGCCAGTGGGGCCTGCTGACCAAGTGTAGCTCTCTTGCCTGGACCAGCCATGGATTAAGGCTGGGTCCTGTTCGGCCTGCCCCCAGGCTAGGCCGAGGTCTGGGGGGTGGGCATTGGCTGAGTTGCTGAGGGAGAGGTTATCTTGGAGGCTTAAAACCTGGAGAATGCCTGAAAGATAGAAGAACCAGGACCAGTGCGGGCTCTTGAAGTGCCTTGGATTTATGTGGACTTCAGAGTAGGGTCAGTGTTCCTTTCATGGATTATGGGTATGTATTCCCTTAAGATATGATCCAGTGAGTCTGGAGCTAAGAAGGCTTGTGCACCTAGACCCTATACCCTCTCTCCCACAAAATATGTTCAAAAAACTGTTCAATTAGCATCATAATACTGAAGTGGACATCAATTTATGGGCGGTTAATGCTAATGGGTGCGTCTGGAAATAAACCCCTAGACTGACTAGATGAGGACCGGGCAAACAGCGGCTCCTTGTGGGGAGTTACCACTACACTTCAATAAACTATCCCAGCAGAATCCGATTCATAGCCATCTTTTCTTCTGTTTGTATTTTTCTGCTGGCTTCTTTCATCATCCTTGCACATCTTTCCCCCTTTCTAGTTTTCTTGCTGCCTTTGGACCAAAATATTCAGAGGGGGTCAGAAGAGAGAAACAAAATAAATTACATAATTCTGAGGCTTGATTTTGCCCCCTCTAACCCTGCTGACCTGTGGCCCACAAGTGCCATTATATCATACTATTATCATTATGATGCAAAATGACATGTCTATGATCATGGTTTGGCAATCATCTTTGAATTACATCAACAGGGCCGTAGCGAGGGCCTCACTTCACTTCCTGTTCATTCATGAGTTTCTGAATGGGTAGTAGCACTCAGTACAGAGGCTTCCCCCCATTCAGAAACTGGATGATAGTAAATATTTTCTGAATGAATGGGAAGCCTCTGTACTTTCCATTCATTTAGAACAGAGGCTGCAGAAAAAGTCCCCCCAACAGTAAAAAATAAAATAAAATGTAAAAATATATTTAAAATAATAAAAAAAAAACACATCCTGGAGGCGGGGCGCATGACGCCACGCATGCGCGGCATTGGGTGACATCACACGCCTGTTGCGGTGGGGGGCACATATTTTTGTTGTTGCTTGGGGCACAAAAGGAGCTACCTACGGCTCTGGGCATCAATCCCAGCGCTGGCGTCATCTTCCCATACTCTTCACTCCTTTTTCACTGCTATCCTGCCCAGCAGCTTATACTTGTTGCCCCTTCACTTCTGCACTGCTCTATTTGTCCACAGGGAATAAAAACAGCAAAGTTGGGTATACACGGTTAGATTTTTGCACGAACATTTGTAATAAAAATCCCGTCAGAACGTTCAATATTGCCATCAGAGACTTGGCGATTGTCATTTGATATTTTGTTTTTATTTAACTTTGGATTTTGGAATGATTGGAGTTTTCTGAATGAAAACCAACATTCACTGTTAGAATTTTGTTTGATTGAGAAACATTTTTCAACATGCTCCTTTGAATTTGTTCGGCACTGTGCTGGAATTAATCATCAATTTAAACGATTAGAAAGTTGAACGAACATTCTAAAATCCTTTGCTCAAAATTCTAACCATGTACAGTATACTCAGTTTAAGCCCCATGTAAGTCCATTTAAAGCCTACATAGGACTAAGGACTCTCTTACCACTGCTATATTACAGCGTTGGGTGCAGGATATGGCCAATCATCAAGCACCAGCTCCAGAATTACATATTGGGAGCCTAAAGGTACAGAAGATCTGGACTGAGGACTCTCTCACTGCCCCCATGTTGTCTGAGCGGCCAATAACCAAGCACTAGCACTATCACATGGGAGAAATGGGAGTGAGCCACAAATTTCCTCAAACCCAAGTATTGGTTTTCCCTACAATTTGAATTGTGGACTTACTGAAAATATACCAGAGTTGCTTTTAATCCATTTCATAATCTAGCAATCAGCAAATGCTCAGCATCTACAGGTATATAGGAAGGAAATAGTTATTGTCCTGCCTCTATTTGTGCTATTGCGGCTTAATTTTAAATTTAATTTTTGCTCCAAAATGTAAATATTTTACATTTATGCTAAAACTAAGTAAAGCAAAGTCATTCTTTGGGGGACGTAACAAGTGGATTTCTATTTCACCGAAAAATGAACTTGAGAATAAATGACTCCAAACGAAGACAAATGTTCATGACCAAACCTGCCTTTAGAATGTACAGATCCTGTCATACCTCTCATGGGCAAACAGCAGGAAGTGATTAAAAACGCATTGCCAGAGGTTCATTCATAAGGAGCTTGAACGAAATATGACATTTAGTTAATTAATTATAAGATATTTCTAAATGTCACATAAATTAGACACTTACTGTTGAATAATGCCATTTGGTGACCGCGGCTGGCTCCACCGCAGTGACACTGCCCTTGAAGCTTTGAGTGTTATAAGTGGAGGACCCTGGTGAGAGGGTGGAGCTGGATGAGTGGTAAGTTGAGCTACGGGCCCTTTGCTACAACAAGGCAGACAGGTGCAGGCCTCAATGCCGACTGAGTAGTTACTGAAGGGTTTCAGGCCATATATCACTTGTACATTGGATGTTCCTTCAGAAAGCTGTAAAAATATAAAATCCTACATTATTGGGGGTAGATAATGATTAAGCAGTACATCTGCTTAAAGTGACACTAAACTCAGGAGTTAAATCTTAAAAATGCATTCAAATACCTTAACTATTAACAATACTGGACCTTATTTGTGTATCACTCAGCTGTAGATCCTCAAATCATCTCTGAATTTATTATTATTAAAAGTATTTATAAAGCGCCGACAATTTACGCAGCGCTTTACATAGTTGTGCTGACACTGTCCTTCCTTCAGGAGGGTGGCTACATTTGTTCCCCATGGTCCCTGTGTGTGTTGTAAAGTAGTCACCCCTCCCAGCTCACTCCCATGATGGACTACAATCTTAATACAGATTAGTAAAGTAAACTTGAGATTGTAGTCCATTATGGGAGCAAGCTTGTAGCTTGTTTTGAAGCAATCAGGAATTAATGTTCAAAAAAACATGAATCCCTCTCTCTCTCTTTTTTACTAAAAAATGTACATGACATAAGGGGGGCATTTGCAAACATATATTATATCTTGCTCAATATGGATACAGTGCAAAAAATGTATATACATAGCAAGGGACAGGCTCAGCTGGCATTGGCAACAGTATACCAAGAGCCAGGGAAACCCAGGAACAGATCAAGCAGGTTTGTCCTGCACTTTCATTAAGTAAGGCAGCAAACACAGTTCAATACAGAAGAGCTTTGTACACCAAGTCCATATTCTAAAACAAGCAAATCATCTGCTCATCTGAGCTACTAACTAAACTCAGGTAAGTTCTTAACAGGCAATTCTTCTATGTTTTTATTTTCTCTCAGAAGTCAGCCTTTCCGCCCAGCGACTGAACACAAGAGAAAGAACCCTGAGCACCAGTCAGTTCACATACACAAAGACCTGCAGACAGCTGAGAGTAATCGTGATGTCTGGCTACCAGGTAAGGTGTGGACCAAGGAATGGATGCTTTCGCCCACCCAAAGCACTACAAAGCTTTCAGTATATGTGTCACCTAGATTTCTCACTTACGCAAGGTAAGGGGCTCCAGGGTTTGTCAGGAATTAGTTCACTGTGCACAGGGTTTTATATATGTGAGCTGACTGAGGCTGAATGGCTCCCTCTCACTCTCTCTGCTTTGGTGGCCTGCTGATGGGTGAAAGGCTGACTACTGACAGAATACTAAAAAAGTGCATGCATTGTTTTTTTGAGGGGAACCCATTAGGGGGCACCCTGTTAACCAAGAACTGACACAAGGTTAAGATGTGGCTTGGACGAGAAGATGTTTTGCTTGTTTTATGCTGTGGACTTGATGTACAAAGACCTCCTGCCTGAACTGTTTGTGTTTACTGCCTTGCTGAATAAAAGTACAGGACAAACCTGCTTGGACTATTCCTGGGTATCCCTGTATCATGCATGTGTCATGGCTACCGCTGCCACTACCAGTTAAGCCTTTCCCGCTTATAATATGTTCTTTATATTATATAAATATATAATATATCTGTATATTCCGCCTATTAACAATTATCCAATAGACAAGGAGCAGTGTTGAAGGTTTGATTTGCCCATGCATGTTTCTTTTTATTCCCACTACATCTAGTAGCTGGCTCTAAGGGCCTACAGCTATTTTATCACACAATCGGGGCATTATGCACTTTCCCTCCTGGTAATAAACTACATTTGTGTCATACATAGGCACAGGGAATGATAAACACTTACCATAATGTCCATCCCTTTGTCATTCCTGGAGAACAGCCGGTACAAGGTCACTATACCATTGGCTTTGGTCGGAGGTGTTATATTAGCCACAGCTGATGTAGCGGACACTGCATGGAATATAGGGGTAGTTAACCCTTCTGGGGCGGCTGGGCTTGTTCTGCAGCGGGTCCAGGGGCTAGAGGTTCTTCCTGCAGAATTTACTGCCCACACCTGGAACAATGAAAGGAGGATGGGGAGGAGATCAGAACACAGCTTAGAACTAGAGCTACTGGACCAAATTTTGGCAAAACACACTTTTTATATATTTATGCCTATCTATTGTCTCTACAATTGTATTGCCAGCATATATCTCAAGTGTATATATCATGAGTATAGATATTATTTTTACCATAAATATTTATGTTTCAACATAAAAACCTTTCAGGACCTTGTGGTGCCTGCAAGTACCTGTGTTAGACTTCAGATGGTGATCTATGTCTCTGTTGAGCCCTTTGGATCCTAGAACCAGGCTTAACATATGGCTTCGACTTGTCTAAGTCAAGATGAACCCCACCCCCTCTCAGTGCTAAGTCTCACCACTATCATTCAATTGCTAGAACTTCAGTGGACAATAGAACCTCTGCCAAGTGACAGCTGAATGAAAGGGGACATGGCTTACTGTCAGTAGAGTACAGAGCTTAAAGTGGACCTTTACCACCTTTGACTAAAAATCACATCAGCATACAGCTCTGCATGCTGATATTAAATCATTTTACATACATTAGCTTACAATTAATTTTTTCCACTTCCTCATCCACTTTGGCGCAAATTATGTGATTTGCCCAACTATTGCATTCTGGGAAGGTTACATCAGCAGTTCAGGGCGGGGAAACCTCATCTGTAATCTCATGAGATCTCAGTGAAAGGCATTTTCCTCCACTGAGAAGATGTGCATGGTCACATGTCCTAGTCACATGTGCCAGAGATCCAGGAAGTAACAGGAGATCTAGTAAACTGCCCTTAGTTAAAATGGCCGCTGTCAGAAGAATGGAGCGGAAAATCAATATAATAATAATATAATAAATATAAGGCAAAAAATACTGTAAAAAGTCTGCAATTATCTAGAAGTATCTGTATGTAGCCATTACTAAACATTTCTTAAGGTGCCTTTGTTGTTATTTTGAAGATATGGGTAGAGTTCCTCTTTAATACAGCATTGAGCAAAGCCAGGCCAGATGTATAGCCTGGGCTTGAGCTCCAAGGGGGCTTCACAGGAACACGGTGAAAGTAACTGCATGCACCACAAGTATCCTGCAGTGCAAAATTGCTGTTACCGTATATACTCGAGTATAAGCCGTCCCGAATATAAGCCGAGGGTGGGAAATGAGGCAGCTACTGGTAGATAGATACCAATAAAATTACATTAATATTTATTTAAAAGAAAAATAACCTAGCTCTGTAAGTGGAAAAGGGGGTACAGGGCTACATACAGATCATTTAATACATTCATGTTAGTATAATTGTAAATGTATTGTCTGCACTGTATTAGCAGTATATACTCTATATAGAGTATATACTGCTAATACAGTGCAGACAATACATTTACAATGATCCTCTGCTAACATGAATGGGTTAAATGATCCATAGTACAGGGCTACATATCATGTACTACGGATCATTTAACCCATTCATGTTAGCAGAGGATCATTGTAAATGTATTGTCTGCACTGTATTAGCAGTATATACTCTATATAGAGTATATACTGCTAATACAGTGCAGACAATACATTTACAATGATCCTCTGCTAACATGAATGGGTTAAATGATCCATAGTACAGGGCTACATATCATGTACTACGGATCATTTAACCCATTCATGTTAGCAGAGGATCATTGTAAATGTATTGTCTGCACTGTATTAGCAGTATATACTCTATATAGAGTATATACTGCTAATACAGTGCAGACAATACATTTACAATGATCCTCTGCTAACATGAATGGGTTAAATGATCCATAGTACAGGGCTACATATCATGTACTACGGATCATTTAACCCATTCATGTTAGCAGAGGATCATTGTAAATGTATTGTCTGCACTGTATTAGCAGTATATACTCTATATAGAGTATATACTGCTAATACAGTGCAGACAATACATTTACAATTATACTAACATGAATGTATTAAATGATCTGTATGTAGCCCTGTACCCCCTTTTCCACTTACAGAGCTAGGTTATTTTTCTTTTAAATAAATATTAATGTAATTTTATTGGTATCTATCTACCAGTAGCTGCCTCATTTCCCACCCTCGGCTTATATTCGGGACGGCTTATACTCGAGTATATACGGTACTTTACAGATTCAGTTCCTGCTTTGCTTTAAAGCTGAACTCTGGAAAATGAATTGACCCTTGTGGTGAGGCTCCCCCACTAACTTTTTCTGTTCCCCCTAGACAAAAATAAATATTTAACTATTGCAGTACATGGGGAGCCTCACTACAATGGTCAATTTTTTTTTTTTTACCAGAGTTAAGCTTTAGCAGAGTTTTATATACAGGTGAAACTCGAATAATTAGAATATCGTGCAAAAGTAATTGCAGTAAGTGCTGCAAAAGGGGCCCAAACCAAGTACTGAGTACATATGCATGCTTGTACTTTTCAGAGGTCCGATATTGTTCTATGTACAATCCTTGTTTTATTGATTGCATGTAATAATCTACTTTTTTGAGGTTGTGGATTTGGGGTTCTTGGGGTTTTCATGAGCTGTAAGCCATAATCATCACAATTATGACAAATCACGGCTTGAATTATCTTGCTTTGCATGTAATGAGTCTATCTCATATATTAGTTTCACCTTTTAAGTTGCATTAGTGAAATAAATTAACTTTGCACGATATTCTAATTATTCGAGTTTCACCTGTATCTATCTATCTATCTATCTATCTATCTATCTATCTATCTATCTATCTATCTATCTATCTATCTATCTATCTATCTATCTATCTATCTATCTATCTGTCCATCTTCATTTAAAAATAGCTCACAGCAATCCTCCTAACACATTGTACTTACACATCACTTTATTGAGTTCCTTGTCACTCTGCAATAATTTAACTATACTTTCTCAAGGTGAACGATCAATTTAGGTGGCAAATTTCAGAATTTAGCACATCTTTGCTTCCGTGCTGCAGGTTCAATAATTGATTTATACCGTGGGGGATCAGTAAAGTCCCCTGCAGAGAAGACAGCTCTATAACTACCGCACAAAACCCAACAACTTTCCTACTTACAAAGCAATAAGAATTGGGAAATTTTTTTTGTAAGATAACAACCCTTTTGATCTATATAGATTAGAGAGAGAGTGAGTTCAATTTTAACCCTTTCGTTGCCGGAGCAATTTTAGCAGGTTTTTGCATGTTTAAATGCGCATTTTAGGCCAGGAGATTGCTTAAACCTCCAGAAATATAGAGTTCCGGAAACCAGAGGACCTGTAGAATGAAATGGTGGCAGTTACAATCTTTTAAGGCTGCATGATATTTATGCGTTTATATGTTTATTTATATGTTTATTAAACCCACATTTTTAGTAAAAAATACTGTTAAGTTAATTTTAGTGCACATATAATACCAATTTTTGGGGGGTAAAATATAAAAGATGACGTTGCGCAGAGTAAATAGATACCAGACATGTCAAGCTTCAAAACTTTGAGTGGCCGTGAAATGGCAACACAAACTACAGTACCCAAAATTGTCCCACTGCAGGTCATTCATTTAGAGTTAACCATGAATAATGGCCCAAGAATTATTGCTCTCACACCTCTGTGGTGTTTACAGCGGTATGTGTGTTGCAATTGTCGTTTTCATACGTAGGCAGACCCCTTGCATGTTTTCATTCATATGTGTGCATGTGTACGCGGAGGTGGGGGACTTTAAATTTTTTTTATTGAATGACATTTTTTTAACTTGTTTTTTATATAACTTTATTACTATAATATAGTAGGCTCATATGTCCTCTGTGTGATAGCACATAGTGGTCATAGGTTCTCTGTAAGCAGACATTAGGGCAGTGGGGAAGCTGGACATTCTGTCCCGAGCAAAGGCTCAGAGTTGCTCCCCCACACACCCAGTGGCACCCCTCCTAAAGTGGCACCTGGGGACACGACATGCCCTGCCAGTCCCCCCCTAGCTTCGGCCCTGCATTGGGGTCTATTAGACCCCTAATGTTACCTTTGCACTCCAGTGAAGCTAACCAAGCACAGATGATGCTTGATCACCTTTATCAGTTTGACTTTCCTCCAAGATGCTAAAAGGCCCTGCGGTCACTGCTGTACAGCATGCGGTCATTTGCACATTTATGCGCGTTGTGCACATGTTGATGTGTGCCTTAATGTGCGTACATAAAGACGTGTGTTTTGATTGGCAGCTCATAAAACATTGCGGGCAATGGAAGAACGCGCGTTTAAACACGCAAAAACTCTCAGGAAAATGTGCAACATGCTTCTGCCGCGCGTTTTTGGCCATTTCCAATGAAGACTATGGAGCAAAAACACACTTTTAACTGCTCAAATAAGCGGATGTACCTTTTTGGGTATTTGGCTTTTTCCTGCTGGCGTTTTTCTGCTCTGATGTTAACCAGGGCCATTAGAAATCATGGGAGTTCTTGTGTTGGGCATTTAAAAGCACTTTTCGAACCTCTCAAAAACTAAATGACTTCATTAGTTATCTGCTGCTCCTTCACTGTCCAATCACAAGCTGGCTGCATGGAGGTGACTACCCATATTGCTTAACTGCAGTAGAGAAAACTGAGGTCAGCGGCTCGGCTGTGCTGTTTAATAGGGTTGTGCAAATCTTAGTACTGGGGGGACAAATGATAAATCCTTTTGCTGATAAAACAGCTTCTTTATATGTATATCATCGGTGTATTTAGCAGCTTGCTTAGCGTTCAGCCATAAAAATCAATGTAGCGATTGTTCCAGTAGAAATATAGAGTAAATGTTAGCTTCTGCTTTTGGAATGACTCCTTCTATAAATCACTTTAGCCCATTAGACGATTCATAAGTGGAATCTTCCGCATCCAAACTACAATCGAAACAAACTAATTTGCAGCTTAAACGAACTAAAAACTCAGCACTTATTAAGTAGATTCTCCACGAATCTGCATGAAAATTAAATTTCCCTTTCATCAAGGAGTGAATAAACATAAGGAAGAAGGGGTAATCTTATTTATCAAAAATCATTTGTATAATTAAACACGAATATCATAAAAGGTCGGACGGGGTCCCCATTTGCATGTGTAAGTTATTTGCGGGACGTCAGGAGCAATAGACAGTGTAGATGGATGGGGGAGATTATGGGGTTAAATTAGGCTCAATAATGGCCAATTACACAGTGATCAATCAGAATGATAGATCTAAAGAGCAATACAAAAAGACTGCCTAAGCGATTTTCTCAGATGTATTCCTTACTAAGCTTTCGTGTTCTCTAGTTTTTACCGCAAGAAAAAAAATATTAACATTTTACTTTAAACTTCTAAATTCTTTTGTTAGCGATTGTCTTAGAATTGGCACAGTGTAAAAAAGGTACAAAAGATACAGTGCCATAATAAATGAGGATAGTATTCTGCCCATTAACTCCCATAAGGCTCAATTCACAAAGGTAACACATAGGGGGTCTATTTATAAACAATTCACATAGCCATTTGCCCTGCAAATCTCCATGAAGTTCATTCTGTGTGAATAGAGGCAAAAACAAACATTTTTAGCATATTTTCTTCACAAGTCAAATGTTATTTCCAATCTAATAATGTAATACTGTATAACGGCCAGTAGATGGACGTGTAGAGCATAGGAAATAAATATTTATTACATTTAAATAACATTCAAGTAAAGTATAGAAAACATGGTTGTTTTTGCATCTATTCCCACAGAATGAAATATGCTAAGAACATTCAACAATATTCGCAGGGTGAATGTCTGGCTCTGCAAATGTTCGTAGTATACTATCTTTACAAGTCAAATGTAATTTCAAATGTTATAAATATTTTTTTCCTGTGCTCCTCAGCTCCATCTACTGGCAATAATGCGGTATAACATCAGTACATTCGACTTGAGAAAAAACATGCTAAGAATGTTCATTTTTGCATCTATATACACGGAATGAACATCCACACAGATCTGCAGTGCGAATGGCTCTGTAAATTGTTTATAAATAAACCGCTAAGATAAGGGTTATCATTGTACAAAAAAAAGAACATATTTTCAGGCGAGTCCAAAGATGTTCACAAATGACGGTAACATAGCTGAAATTAAAATGTAAAAATGTTTACTTTGTTTTGGATACAGTAGGTAAAGATAACCCCAAGCAGGTTATTTTTTTGCTGCGGCCCCTCTGCTTGATAATTTGTTACAAAGTTTCAATGTACAGTGTAAAAAATGACCAGGAAAGAGGAAACTGAGGACATGCTTCCTCCCTTCTGCAGCAGACTAATGACACAGCAAACTCACTGGACTGTAGCTCCAGGACAGCTTTTAATGATCATTGTACTGCTGCTGTATGTTGTGACCTTTTATGTATTTATTTATGCAGACTTTAATGATACTGAAAGGTCAACCGGGTAGGTGAACTGACACAGTTGCAGTGTTTGCTAAATAGCATTAGCAGTTCACTGGCTCCCTTTTACCTGTTACATGGACTAGCCCTTTAAATACAATCAGGGGAACCTGAATGACTTCACTTCTTTATAAACGGCCCTCTTTATCATTGTAACACACGTCCGTAATGCACAGAGTGAGGAAACACTCCACAAAGCCATTAATAACAGCACAAAACAAAACACTGAAGGCAAGTAATTTAATAATCTGTTTCCTATGGGTCTGTAATGAAATAGTTATGGTTTTCCCACGAGAGCGATAAGGAGATATTAAAAGGTCTTTCCAATATCTTTAATAGCTAAGGGCAATAGCTGATTCAATAGATTCGATCAAAATCACCGGCATGCTCAGCTACGCCTGATTTATGTCCCCGACTCCCTCCAGTCATTACTCATCTTAGTTTGCTTTTTCACCGCTCATAAATTATGTCTCATAAATAAAAATATACAATCAAGGAAATCATATCAATTCATCCACAGTGAATAAATGGCTGCCCTGTGGCACTCTGGCCAACCGCTCCTAAACAGGTCAGCTAAACGCTGCCAACGGACGGCCTCACTGAAGATGTAGAGAAAACGTTAAATGGAAAACTGGCTCTTCACTTCAGGAAAAAAAACAAGACACATGCCGGCTTCCCACATTAATATACACATTATGTTGAGTGTATGTAAACCCAAAATGTACTTTAGCACAAAAGCTTCCTAAAAAGGAAGTTCTCAGTACTATGGTGCTAGCTTGTTTAATTGCTTTTAATAAAGCTGTAGTTCTTACCTGTTGATGTTGTCTGTGCTCTTTCTATGGGCTTTCTGTTCTTGGGTGAGAATGCTAACGACCAGCTTACAGTGCTATGTTAGCATTGTCACCCTTGCATGCACCCCTGCAGGATATCTACAGATATCCCTCCAAATTATTGAGTTTGGGTATGTCCAGTGAAGAGTTCTGCTGTTGCTACAGCACACAAAGACATTTTTGACAATTGTGTACTTCCAACCTTGTGGCAACAGTGTGGGGAAAACCCGTTTCTGCTTAAAGTGACAGGAGTTAAACTTGAATAATGCAGGACAGTGTCAGCACCAATTCAGAGATGATTTGAGGATCTGCAGCCGAGTGATACACAAATAAGATACATTTTTGTTAATATTTATGGTACTTGAATGCATTATTAAGGTTTAACTCCTGTCACTTTAAGCAGAAACGGGTTTCCCCCACACTGTTGCCACAAGGTTGGAAGCACACAATTGTCAAAAATGTCTTTGTATGCTGTAGCAACAACAGATCTCTTCACTGGACACACCCGGGCTCAATAAGTTTGAGGTATATCCACATACCATATCCATGTAGTAAGTGTGATGGTCAGATGTCCATAAACCTTTGGCCATATAGTATATTATTTATGTGTCTGGTCAGTGAAGAAAATTATGAGAACAACAATAAAAGCTCAGTCCGAATTTAGAATCCTATTGAAAGTTCAGCCCTTTGCCTATTTAGATGTTCCCTTTTAACCATAAAAGTGCAAAGGAAACTCATTAAGTGCCCATCTGACATTGTCCACAGTGAGCAACATCCCTTTAATATGGACCCTAATTGACAAATCTGTATTATTTGCATACCTTGTACTCATATTCTGTGAAAGGCAACAATGTTACGTCCTGAAAGGACAAGAAAGAACCGTTGTAGGCCAGTTCTGGGGGAGTCACCTCTTCATTCAATGTTCGGCGATAAACTTCATAGGTGAGGATTTTCCCATTTGAATACAGTGGTCCATTCCAAGCCAAAGAAGGAGCATGGCTGTTGGTTTGGACATCAATTAGAGGGGCGGGCTGGGAATCTGGAGCAGCCTCTTGTGTATGGCCAGTTGCCCATTCGCTTACAGCGCATCCCAGTATAGTACAAGCTTCAACTTTTCCTTCGTACCTTAAAACAATAACATATTACAATATGCTGTTTCACGAATGCAAAAAAATATTTAGTTATTAGTTAATTAGGAAATAGAAGCCTGCTAGAGAACAATGTAACAAAGAGAATGGTTAATCTATAATAGTAAAGGAGAGAACTTCAGAAAAAATCTGAATACTTTCATAGCTTAACTCCATGAAAACAGCTAGATACACACAAGAAATACATGTACATGAAATGTTTTACCTGACGAAGGATTTATATTTAATTCCATCCAGTTCTTTGATATACACAGCTCTACTATATAGCAAAGCCCTGTCTGGCAGGGCATGTCTCTGCTATGGTTTACTAACACTTACAGGTCTTGTCCTCCCCCCAGCCTGTGACTGGACAGTGAAAGAAGAATAATGTGCTCATCTCATCTTTTTCCCACTGCTCTCTTCTCCTATCAGCATTTGCCTCCTTTCCATATGAGCATTGCATAACAACTTTTTGCTTCCTCATGCTGCTTCTCTCTTTCATAATCTGAACTTTGTTATACAGGACATTGAAAGAGGGTGGTTTTATGTCAAATTCAAAGGGAAAAAATACATTTCTTAACATACCGTATTAATGAATACCAAGCTGAACTATGTTGCTCCTTTTATATCTGCCTGGAGTTTAGCTTTAAGGATTGAGAGGAATCAATATCCATGCAGATTGGAACTCTGATAAAGACTAATGGTACTATTAACATTGTTGGTTTCTATCAACTTCTCTTGATTTTAAAGCCCAACTCCAGCCACCCCTCTTTTTTTTGTTTTTAATAGAGCCAGGAGGGGGGAGAGCTTCATTTATGTTTTTATTTCTAACACCTCACTGGAGTGATTTTTTCCTTACTTCCTGTTCCTGTGACAACTGTGCGAGAAATGGGTGGTGCTGTTGTCATCATGACTGAATAGTTCTAATCCTTCCTAGCTGAAAATGTTTTTTTTTGTCTGCGTCCCCATTACTGAATTTTCATATCACTTCCTGATCTATCCAGGCCTGGCAATCCAGTTTTTTAAACAAAGATGTTAAATAAAGGAAGAAGGGAAGAAACTTCACTTAGTTTATTACACCACACAACAAAAACAGCTAGGCAACCTGACAGTGGAGTATGTTTTCACTTTTATTTCAAAATTTGGGTAGTGTAGGAAAGGATTAGAATCTCTGGCATGGCAGGTTTTGATCCTATCCAGGATTCCATAAAGAGCTTTTCTGCAAAACTGCAGAGAAAATACTCCCTTACTATACACGGTAAACAACCGAAGACAGACTCCTTATTCATAATGAGTATTTAATATGCAGACAGAGGTGAGATAAGAAATTCCTTAATGGAATAAAAAGGGACAAAGATGAAAGTTCCCAAAAACGTCATAAATCAGAAATTCAGAAGCCATAAGATGTTATGCAGCAAACTGTTACAAGTTAAGTTAATGTATTTACACTTACTGAGTATATGGGTTGAGATCCTTTATTACAAAAGAATGATCAGTCCGAGAGACATATGAACCATTAAAATGGTACTGTGAGACCTTCATTTCAGCTGGGTGATGAACATAGAGAGCATAGTTGAGTATCTCCCCATTGGTCTTCAAAGGGGCTTGCCAAGTGGCCAGAATCTCATGAGCACTTACAGCTTGCAGCTGAGGTGGCTCCATCCCCGAAGGTGAAGATGGATGAGTTCTAATTCTAGCAGGACTACTTAAGCAACTCCCTTTGCTGTTAGTTGCTTGGATGACATATGTGTATTCCGTCCCTGGTTGAAGGCCAAAGTCATGATAGTGAGTATCCAAGCCGGCATAAATCAGCTGACCATTTCTACGTACTTCATAGTTTCTGATTTCACCATTGGGCTTGTCTGGGCCTTGCCATGATATTTTAATTGACTGGGCGCTTGTGACTGTAAAAATTGGAGGCTTGATGTGTGAAGGTTGAGCTTCCATTGTTCGGAAGTGAGTCCGGGAGCTAGTTGTGCAGCCACCGCTGGTGCAGGCCACCAAGCTGATGTTATATAATGTAAAGGGTAATAGGCTGGACACATTCATGGACAATCTCTTCCCAGCAAAGTATGTGTCCTTATCTATTTGAATGATGTATTTTGTAATTTCTCCATTTGGCATGGATGGTGGATCCCAAAACACATTAACCTCAGTGGAACTGAGAGGTTCAACGATTGGTAGTTTTAAAAATGATGGTGGCCCTTCTACAGTTTTTATAGGAGTAAGGTCACTGGTGGTGCAGCCAGCTATTGTACAGGCTATTATGGAATATGTGTACTCAGTATAAGGCAACACATCTTCATCTGTATAATTAAATGTTGCAGAATCAAAGCTGTAAGGTAATATAACATTGTTTTTTTGCAATCTGAAATAAAGAACATTGCCATTTTCATCCCTCGGTTTAGTCCACTGGATAATGATTTGATTGGGAATATCACTGTGAAATACCTTTGGGGGAATAAGATGACCTGGAGCTGCTTGACTCGTCTGAGCCACCATCCATGGACTATCTGTGTACCCAACAGAGTTCCACCCACGGATCTTATATTCATAATGTGTCCATGGGTGTAGACCAACGTCTGTAAATGTAAATACCTTCTGTTCTGTGTTTGTTTCTCTAAAAACAAAATTTTCGTTCGTTCTTTTCTTGTTGCCTGGTGAATTTTCTTGAGTGCACCTTTTGATCACTTCGTAGCGAGTCATTTGTCCATTTGGTTGGGACGGAGAAAACCAAGAGAGAGTGATGTGGGTGGCATTCAAGGATTGGACATGAGGGGGAAGCTGAGAGGATGGAGAAGCCTCATCAGTTTGGATACGTTGGGGAAATGTTTGGGTGTAGCCTGCGGACGTGCAAGCCTCAAGTACCAAATTATAGACTGTGTAAGGTTCAAGACGACGAAATAAAAACTGCCGAGCCAGGCCACTGTATTCCAGGTTATCATCACTGTAGATGTTGTACATCTAGACAAAAATGAAAAATGTGTAAGTTATAAAACTCAAATGGTTTTGATTGCATCTCTGTGTAGCTGAACTCCAGAGAAAAAGCTAAATACACAGATGATATACACATACGGGAGCTGTTTTACCTGCCAAAGATTTGTGCCTCGATCCTATACTGAGATTTACACAGCTCTGCCACACAGCACAATCCTGCCTGACAAAAACAAGCAGCTAACCCTTGTAGGGGGGTAGCCCCACTGCAATTATACTGTTTTGTTTTTTTTTATAACCTGGAGATAGACTTCAATAGTGCAGTCATCCCAAAAATTATATTTTAGTTTTTGGTAGATTCTGGAGAATTAAACTACCCAACAAATGCCTATTATGAGGGGTTCCCACTCTTCATATTTCAATTTGTTTTTAATTATAGAGCATGCTACAAGGGGAGCTGGAACACACAAAGGTTCCAGGAATAAAGAGTCAAATATGACCTAGTGATCTCATTGCTGAAGTCTGCAAGACATAAAAGAAACTTATGGGCCGATTCAGTCCATCAGGATCCAACTAGATGGACTGGACTTTACGAATTAGAAGACTTCACTGCATAAGTCACTAATTATTTTTAACTATACTCCCTTCTACATCATATGGACAGCACAGCCTTTGTAGAAGTGTACATAAGAAAGCTCAACAAAAGGTAGGGACAAACCTGTCTTAGACAGGTTTGACTCAGTTGTGGTGCTTCCTTCGCTACCTTTTGTTGTTCTTTTACAAACAACGGACACCCCGGTCCGCACAAACGTGAAGCAGCAGACTGAGTATTCAACCTCCCAGCCTTCACTTCCCTAACCCCCCCTCCCCGAAGAGTGCTGTGCCACTGGACAACTCTCCTCATTTTTCATTACATAAGAAAGCTCACATTGCTTAATGGGAATTTAAATGTCTTTTTTACTTGCTCAGCTTTTCAGATGCCAAGGAGGTGAAGTTGCCACACAAAGAAACAAAAATGGAATTCCCATTTATTTTCCTGTATACTCAAAAAGTTTTTTTCCCTAGCAGTATAATTATAGATGTAATGTGACATGGTCATTTTAGGCACACAGTGTTAGAGATTTAGAAGATGAACAGTTGTGTAAAATGAGGTACAAATTGCTGGATGGTGAATGAATTATAGAACATTGAACACACTGTTATTATGTTCACTAGAAGACATTTTTTGAAAATAAGAACAAGATAAGTTTATACAGGTAATACCACCATCATCCAGCACGTGTCTCTTGTTACAGGCTGAGGAATAGACCTTTCTTCTAACATGCAGCATTGTGCAAAGTTGGCTATTGTGTGTTCATTTTCTATATGGCCTATACAGTCTCATACCAGCAGTATGCCGTTGGTTCTCTCAGGTGCTGACCACTGTAGCAGCAATGCCCGACCACTTTCTCTGTTGTCTACGGTGAAGTTACTTAGTCCACTTGGCGCAGCTTCCCAGGTCTGTACAGAGATCCAGCCACTGGACACACTACCGGCGCTGTTGGCGGCCTCAATACATATGTGATACGTAGTAAAAGGAAACAGACCGAACACTTTAGCTTCATTTGTTGTTCCCTATTTACAGAAGAAGAATATGTATTATTAATATGGAGATACACATGTAGAAATGATAATATCATATACAGAACAGTCAAAATCTTTGTCAATGGCTAACATGGTACAACACTCTGCTATTGCCAATATTTTAAAATAGATGACATGGAATATTTGAAGCCAATAATGATCTCACAGTATCAAACAAGACGGGATAAGGTATGCCGCCAGGTCCCCTCCTCTCTCCTGACACTGTCAGGCTCTCGGTCCATGACTGAGTGCCCGACTTTTTAGAGGGGGTGACACCAAAATGACTGTCAGTCATTTTGGTGTCACCCCTCCAATGGTGTCATTGGAGGGGTGATGCCACTGATAAGAGATTCACAAAAAAGAGTATACAATAAGGCATGATACCAGACATACTAAAAAATAGATTTAGGTTTACATACACTCAACCCATACAGGTCTCAGATGTTTATATGTAAATCAAGTGTAGAAATGAAATGCTGTCTCTGGACACTTTTTCTGTAGTCATATATACATACATATTAAATAGTTACATAGTTAAATAACAATTGTGGGCCCACTTCTGCTGCAAAGGCAGGGTTTACATTTTTATGGCCAGTATATGTATACACATGCCTGCTTCAGCATCTTTGCAATATAACCAAGCACCTCCTGTTATTAGCATAACAAGGCTGTCTAAAATCCATCAAGCTTTTCCTGCATCCTAATCTTTTTATAATATGCGACGTATCTTCATGAAAAATGTAGACGGTGTTCTCAACACATGGAGGGGCCTAGCCGTGTATGATGAATGGCTTGTTTACACATGATGCCGGACAAACACATGGAAGATGAATAATGTAGAATATATATAGAAGGGTTTCGGTAAAAATCTGCACCACAATAGCATTAGGGACATCTCCTCCGGAATGCAAATAGTAATCACCTCGAACAGATTATATAGAAAACTGCCGGTTGCCTGGGGACATTTAGAACTATCTCTTACCAGAAGAAACATGGAGCATGTGGGCAATAAAGCAAAAACATATGTATATTGTCAATAGCAGCACCTGTTCAATTAGGTTTTATTCCCGAGAAGAGAGTCCATTCTGCCCCCTAGGTGGCAATACTATCTAACACTTTTTTTTTCTTTTTTTCAACCTGAGTACTTAAAAACGACTTAATCAACGAGCTTCACGTGAAATGACATTGTGCCTAACAAATAAATATTATGTTAATATTTAGGGTACTCCCATGTTCTTCTGCTGTGGGACATTGGTTATCATCTATGTGATAGGTCAAAACACAAAAATGTTCAATGTCATTGTGTGAATATGATAAAAATATTAGCCAGTTCCATATTTACTACCACCAAGTAAGTTCAGGATGAGCAACCTTGCTTTTTTTATCTGGCAGAAAGACTCTGCTCGCAGTTCTGCTCTTTGTTTACAGCCAGCACCACAAGTCTTCCCTGTCCTGGCCACCATAGCTCCAAACTGTCCCTCATTTCGAGGGATGGTCCCTCTTTTTAGACCAAATGCCTCAGTTCCTTTTTCCTTGTTAGTTGTCCCTCTTATTGGTCCGATGTATGGACCTCTATAAACAAATGAGCTATTTAACTACCAAAAGTATTATACTACCCTAAACCTTTCGTGTAACCTATACATTTTAGAATATGTTATTTTGAAAAGCCAGTATAAAGGAAAAGTAGTAGTAAAAAAGCCCTGGTCAGAGCTTCTGTCTTACAGCACTTGGGTCCCTTGTTTGAGTCCCAGACAAGATACTAGCATGGAATGTCCATGTTTCCTCCGAGTGCTCCAGTTTCCTCCCACATTGCAAAGACATGCTGGAAGGTTAATTGGCTCCTGTCTAAATAAATTCTAGTACATGTATGCATGCGACATAGGGACCAGAGATTGTAAGCTCCTTGAGGGCACGGACTGATGTGAATGTGTAATATGTGAAGTGCTGTGTAAATTGACGTAATATATACAACTACCTGTAATAAATTAAATAATTATTTTCTATATGAAGTCTCCATGGTCCTCATAACTGGGGGTGTGGCAGGGGTATGTCTCATACCTAAATACTTTGTGGTAATAGGTGTTCCTCTTTCTGATCCCAGAATGCTGGCCACACTTGGGCATTGCAGCCTCTTATATTTCCATGGGACTGTCTCCAATCGGCTCCTGCCTCAGGACACAGCCCCATAGAGGTCTATGGAGCAATATGCACAGGCACTAGGACAGTAAAGTTCAGTTGGAGTGCTGGCTTTTTTCTATGTCTGGATCTGCACGGTGTCACCGTCTACCCAAGCACCCACCCCTACAAATGGGTTATAGGGGTTTGTGTGGTTAGATATGTTACCAGGACAGTACCGACTTGCACTACTGGATGTAAACACATACCTCCCAACTTTGCAAGATGGGTAAAAGGGACATATTATAATACAAAGTATGTAGACAAAGGAAATACCCTTACCACGCCTCCAGTAAGACAGACCGTGACGATTAACGCACAAATTATGCAATGATGCATAATGAACAAATTATTGGTATAACCCCAAACTTTCCCTAATTTTTTATTTTCAAAATAACAAAAATAATAATTTATAGGCTAGATAAAAGTTAAAGGCCCCTTCCACATGGGCGCTTGTCAGATCTGCTGAGTGAAGCAGTATGGATTGGATGTCACCGTTGTGACACCGGCATCCATCCAATTTTTTCCTCCATCTTACGAAGGTGGTGGTGGTGATGGTGGAGCATGCAGGATCAGGGTAGAGGAGACAAGGCTGCCACACAGAAGAGTGACACGGCCCTCTGTAGGCTCTGCATCTCCCAGCCTGGCCCTTAGCAACCTGGGACCCTCTGGCCGGCACCATCCCCCACTCCTACCAACCAGTGATGATACTGGTTTTCAGGAGCTGGGCAGGATGCCAGCTAGAGCTTCCCAAATTGCAAAGAGAGCCATACTGCTCTGCCTGCTGCCCCCACAGGACCCAAAGAGATGCCTCCTAAGGCAACAGCCTCCGACTGTCTCATTAAAGGGATGGCCCTGGGAGGACCTGAGCAGACTGCCCATCTGGGGCCTTAGTGTCGGCCATGGGAAGGGGGCAAAAAGGATAGATGATCTTTGCTTGAAAGTGCACTTGTGCTTTAAACTAATAACAATGTTAGTTGTATTATACATGTAGGCTTTTTGTTTTTTCCTAATGACAGCTGGTGAAAGTCATCTGAAGTGTGTGTCCACATTGAACATTATCTCTGCTAGTCACAGACAAGAGAGCAGGACGGCTCTGAAGAAGAAATGGTATTAATAGCGGAATGAACATACTAAACAGAAAATGGCTTTAAAATGTACATTTTCCATGCTGCTGGTCATGTGTCTCTCCATTGTAGTTTTCCTTCTCTTTTATTTTGATTAAAATGATTGCTCTGATACCCCTCCAGATTAGTCCATCAGCATGACTTGTGGGGGTTATGGTTTTAAAAGCCCGGACAATCTACTGGAACTGATCACAGCACGAGGCAGAGCCAAACCATTAACTCGGAGAACCTCGCACGGGTCTTAATTCATGATGAAATACAAACCTACAAAGTACCATCAAGGACTCCAACTTTAGACAATCATTTATACTTCTCCATTATGAAAAAACATTGAGAGGGACGTTTAACAATTATTTGTATTTTATAAAATTGTGTAGACAGAATATTTCAGAACGTATTTGCTCGCAGCCTCTTACCTTTCATTAAGGTATTATCGGAAGCTCTCCAACCCTTATTTTCCCAAGACATAGAAACTGCAGCTATCTGCCTGTTACTGAGGTTCATCTATCAGTGTTTTTATATCTGATTAGTTGATTATAATGAGAACCTGCCGTTAACCCCTAAAGAAAAGCAATTGATGAAAACCAGCAAAACCTCTATCTCAGGGGTAGGCAACCTTGGCACTGCAAATCCCACCATGCCTCTGTCTCTGTGAGTCATGCCGATGGCTGTCAGAATGTTGAAATGCCTTATAGGACTTGTAGTTCCACAACAGCTGGAGTGCCAAGGTTGCCTACCCCAGTTCTAACTCATTCTAGCCAGTCCATTTTAATGCTGAACTCCAGTCCAGCCTTAAGGGGTGTCAATATACTTTTCACCTCCTGAGGCCAGGGGGATGGGTTGGTGCTTCAGATGCCCCTGTGCAGGGAAGCTGCTGGGTTTAGACAATTCACGGGGGAGGCGCCTGTGGCCACATAACTGCAGCCACACTGCATACATTCTGCAGAGCGACCAAAATGCTCTGCCTTCCACTCCCCCACGTGACGCATGGTCATGTGAGCTGAACGCAGGGCTGCCTGCATCCTAGCAAGCAATGGTGCTATGTGGGGCAGTGGTTGCTAGGATACAAACAGAGGTTCGGTGGATTAATTGGCCAAATTATTTGCTTGTTCGTCGAACTGCGAAAAGCTTGGATTTGGATTGAACTCATGGTTGGCCCAAACCCAAAGCTCATCCCTAGTGATGATGGTCTCCAGAAGGTATGTCCCTGACTGCCCAGGCTCACAGGAAGTGGACTGAATGACTGGACCACAAACCAGTGAGCACAGCACCCAGGCAGAAGGTGAATATTGCATTGGTTATTTTCCTATGGTCTGAGTTATATAGTATAATAAAATTCTAACTAGTGTTGGGCTTCAATTACCAACAAAGGGCCATATGAGCATGTGAATTGATGTGGTTATCAGATAAATATATTGGAGTGAGAAACTGGCATTTTGGCGATTCATAAATGATGCATCCTGCTTCAAGTGGGTACGAAAAACAATAGGTCAAACAGTTTTTGCTGGCGGAATACAATCAAAATGAGAATTGATCTGCAGACGTCAATAGATTTCAGTATGGACACTTGCTACACAAATTGGTCACAAGAACTGGTTCTCCAAATGTATTCCCGTCATTTCTCATTTATTTATCTGCTGACAGCGTTCTTTGCTGGACTTCTCTGTGGCTTTCCTTCCAAGTGACAGT